CCTTGCCTTGGTTTTCAGAGAAATTGTATTTTGTAAGATTAGGCACAGCCTTAGCCACCAGCAAGTGCTCATACCTTGCCAGGCTTTACTTTTTGCGCACTCTGGGTTTTTATCATTGAGAGGCCCATCGTGGGAAGCACCAACTAGAAACTCTCAGGTTCTGGAATCTTAATTGTTCAGGTAATGATAATGCTGTGGATGCAGATTAATAATGAATCTGTACTTTAATAGTTAAATTAGATGTACATTCTTCTGATGTGCATGATAATTTAGGTATGGGATTTTTAAGTGCAAAATATGATGTTCCCGGGCATGAAAAGTTAATGTTTGATTTCTCCTGCATAGGAGGATGTCCTAGTGTGTGTCGTACGTGCTTAGTACCAAGTGACTTTCATTTTGGAATGAAATGTTTTTGGGCTTTGAAAAATAAAATTGCAATAGGAATTAGAATTTAGTGATTTCTCATTTACGAGTGGCTCCATTTTTTACAAGACCTCTAAACATAAAATAATCTGTCTCAGTGCTAGTGGGGAAACCATGGCAGTCAGAGGTGGAGTGGTTCGCCCATACTGTATGAATCCAGTGACAAAGTTGTGACATGAAGTCTTGAGTTCTACTCTCTATGCTTTAACAATGAGATTGCATTATTATGAGCACTCTACAAACTTAAAAATTATTTCTAGACAGTAGGACAATCAGAATAATTGTATTTTTCTGTAGACAGAGCTAGCCAGCACACAGTTCAAAACTATCGTGTTTGCTGTTGTAGAATATTTACAGTCTGAGATAGCTCTCTCTTAACCAGATCTGCTAGCTTGTCTATTATTGTGGAAATTATACTGCTTATTCAAACTTGTTTAATGAATGTCTTTTGAAACATTGGCTGACATTTTAAACATAGTCATGTATTAAGACTGCAGGTTGATTTCTTTCTTTTTGTTTGGCTTTTTTTTTTTTTTTTTTTTGCAAGCTTGTGTTCAACCTGATGTTTTTTTGCCTCTGTTCTGTTTCCCAAGGATAAATCCATGTGCCCTTTGAGCCCTCTGATAAAGCAGAATTTTAGATGCCCTAAATAAACTCATGTAAAGCCAAGTTCTTGTGATCAACCTGACCAAATAATATCAGGGTGTAGTTAACGTATTTTGTTACTGAAGTGTACGTACTCTGCTTTATTCCAGGGTAGTCATTACCCCTGTATCTTTTATTTATAAATAAATGAAGCAGTGTACAGTAAGCAATCCAGCTCCATGGAAAGCACTGTAACTTTGTTAATTGATCCACTAAAAACACCATCATGTTGTTATTAATTCTCTCTACATGAAGTCTCTTGAAGACAACGTCACTTTTTTCCTAAGTACACCATGGCTTATGTGCTTTATAACTGTGTATCTGAAAAGAGCTCACAGTTAACAATTAATGATCAATTCTTGACTGTTACAGCTTTTTTGATGTTACGGAATTAAATATATAGTTTCTTTAGCAGTATGGCCACTACCACTAACCTGTCATTGTTTGTTTGTTTTTTTTTGTTAACTACATAATACATATATATGTTTCAGGTATGTGTTTCTGATAAAATGTGCTAGCCATCTTGAAAGTTAAGACTGGTAAAATTTCTGCTACTGTTTTCAAAGTAGTCTCAGAATAAAAAGCCTTTAAATTGTATAAAAATTCTAAAAAAACTACCAATGGTGACTTTCTCTAGTAGAATGGACCATTTCACTATCAGGACAAGTAGTCAAGTAAATTAATGGAGTTCTTTTATAATAAGCACTGTGCAAACCCCTGTACTAGTTGAGCATGGCATTTTGGCTTATCTTTATTCAGGGCATACATGACTGACATATTTTCATTGCATAGATGTATACAAGTTTTCTTTATATACCCAGTTCTTGAATTACTCTGCATTTCCAGAGAGGTGGACTGCTGCATTAATTTCAGGAATATATCGAAATTCAATGTAACAGTACTAGTGGCTCTTAGTGTTATGCTTAACATGATTTGCTATATTTTAATTAATAAGGGGAGCCATGGAAGAGCAAACTGTCTCAAACAAGCCAGGAACAAGACTGATCAACAAGGTGTTGAGGCTGGGGCAATTCAGCACCAGGAACTGACAATGATGGTTAGATATGCTGCAGGCACAGAGATGTTTTGTTGGACAGACAGACAAGAAAGAGATAGTAACATATCAGCATTTTGTGGGTGCTCTAGCCTATGGCACTCTTCTCCATTGCTATGACAAATTGCTGGAACCACTGGAGAGCGTGAGTATGAATGTGGGACATATTTTAGCCAGTCCTCCTTTTTATGTGATTGCTAATAGCTGTAGGTAGGAATATGACCAGTTAATTTTTTGTATTGGTGCACAGGGTCATGTTTTAAAATGTTTGCAGTATGATTAGAAGCTTATGGACCTTATACTACAAAGTGACAGCTGGCTGGTTCACTTGGAAGGGGAAAACTATAAACCTCCCTACAAAAAGCTTCCATTGGAGAATGTGGTGTCCCTATCAGCTAACTAGTTCAATTCAGGTTTTTTTTTTTTAAATGTTTAAATTTTCTGTTCTCAATATTAAAAACTTATCATTGTAGAAAAACCCTCTGTTCATTACTGTATCTGAACCCAATATAACACAGATATTTTAGAGATGGGAGACTATTTTCAGTCCCACATACTCCAGCACATACACAGCACAGTAAACTAGAAATCACGACTTAAGTGTTAAGTGCCACAAATTCAACAAAGACTTGGAACTACTGAGGTTCTGTACTTTGTGAAATAAGAATTTTGTAGCTGTTCATGGGTTGGATTTGAGGTTAATTCCATGCAGAGAAACACAATACACTATAAAAGTCAGAATGGAAGGAGTAGCTACTGAGGGATGTAAAGTTTTCAGAAAATGCTCCCACCTGTGTTTAAGGCTATTTTTGCCATGTTGTGAGGACTTCTGAAATGTAGAGACTGTCTTCTAGCATCCGTTTCTGAGTTACACAGCTGTTGGATGCAAACCCATGGACTTTTACTCAATCCTGCTTAGTTATTTTAGTGTAACTAGAATTTACAATAGTTATGAACTAGTAATGCATAAACCAAAACAATAAACTAAATACTACTAGGAAAGGAAGAAATCAGTAGGAAATGTGTGAAAGTAAACTACAGAATTTAAGAAGTCAAATGCTTGTGATAGTTTCTCTAAGGTGCCTCAGTTACCTTGTTATTACTTTAAATGACCAAGGAAATGAATACTGTGGAGAAACAGGGCAGTGCTATGCTTTTTGTAGCAAATTTGATATTGGGCTAGACTAATAAAGCAAATGGTTCCAAACTCTAATCTTTCTAATGCTATTTGAAATGCAGCACATCCGGGTAGAAATACTTCGCCTGCTCTGTGTCAAGAATAAACTGCTCTGAAGAGAGGAAAAATACCAGAAAATTTAATTGGAAAATAGTGGGTTTTAGTGGTCAGAATATAATTTATGAACTTGGAAATGGATCAGAACTATAACAGCTAGTGGATTCCTGCTTTTAAAATAGTATTAGGTGTTTAAAGTCCAAGATGACTGATCATTGTCTGATACAAAGAATGTCTCTTGGAACACTGCAATCAGTACCGCTTTAGCACTTCATCACTGGAAGTAAAGGACATTAGAACTTGAAACACAACAGTCTTTGTGCAATACTGTTTTTTACTTCACCACTGGTTTTAAAAGTGATCAAAGCTTGATCTTTGCACTTTGGAGAAATTTCAGCTTCACCGCTAGACTTAGGAACAAAATATATATATATATATTCACTGCTGTAATAACAATAGTTGTAGAGAAGCAGTTTAGAGCAAATGTCTGTCTTGAATTGCTCACATTTTGCTTTCTCACTTGAACAGATACTTTCCATGTTTGATCTCAGTTCAGAGGTGAAACTCGTAGAACATGAATGAAACAAAATCTTTAGAACTGATGTTAGAGTTCTTGGACACAGAAAAATTAAATTCAAGGTGGATTAATATAATTGTATAAAACTCTATCCAGGTGATTCTACAAATGTCCAAATGTATAAATACATAGATAACATGGATAGGTGAATAATTTTGGGAATGAGAGTGATTTTTTTGGCCTCCATTAGTGACCTTTATGATACTATAAAGATTTCAAAATTTATATATAATTTCAGTAATTCTGAATTTGCTGATTAAAATAATGCAGTGCCAGGATATTTTATGTTGTCTTATGGTAATGTAGTGTCAAATTTGTAAGATGTGGAACTTACTGTTTTAGTTGGGAAAGTCTGAACCATGCATGTGTTAAATGATCTCTTTGGTAAATATGAAGGAGAAATATTTGGTAAGTATACTTTAAATGGCTTGAGATAATGAAAGAGTATGGTACATGAGACATCTTGCCTCCCATTTATTGAGTCCTCTTTCCGTTCTAGTAATGATTGGAATACCAGACTTGTGAATTCAGGGAATTAAATATCAGAGCTAAGTTGTCCCCTAGTAAACCAGACTATTTGGAACACTCTGCTTGTACGGAATACTTTATAATTATGCAGAATTTGAACTGACTGTGCAGAATTAGATTATTTAAGTTGTTGGGGAAGTAGTTGAGGTGAAGGAAATTCTGTGTTTCTGGAATTTAGATTTTCTTAAATTTGGGCTGAAACACCTGTTGTATGATTTCTCCTTGCAATTCTGTTTCCCAGGATATGATCTTTACTTCCTAACCGTGAAATTATTTTTAACAAATTTTAACTTTATGGCAAGGAATACAAACTAAATATTGAATGGGGATTCTTAAGTGACTTACGATAAATATAGATCAGAGTAATGTTTAAGAGTATTCTAATTTTTAATATTCCTATATTAGACTGACTTTAATGGTGTATGTGTTTTTGCTTAATTCTGCTGTAGCAACGTAGAAAAAACCCGAAGTTTTCATGTTTCAGATGGTCTTGTTTAACACTGTTGCCTAAAACAGGCTATGTTTGTATTTACTTGCAGGATCGCACAAGGACTTTTGACATGCATTCACTGGAGAACTCGCTAATTGACATAATGAGAGCTGAAAATGATTCACTGAAAGGTAAATTTAGAAAGAGACTATTTCCTGCAGTAAATAATTGGGAAGACGTGCTTACTTAGAATAAGAAACTTCAGTTTTGGTTAGGAAAAGTAAAGTTGCATTGTGCACCTAATGCATGTTGGTCAGCTCGGGTAGGCCTCCTTTTTTTCAGTTGTCTCTAGATGAAGCTATTGCAACACATGAACACTTGAGTGTGTTTTGTCTTTATACAAAACAATGTGAAACACAAACATAAGCTGATCTTTTGTGTAAGTTGCCAGTGTTGTTTTTAATAGATACAATGTGTGCAGCCTGTAAAAATGATCAACTTCAGGAATCTTGTGCAGCTCAGTGAGACGTAACTTTCTGCTTAATAGTATTTTCCTGCAGAAAGCATAGTTCTTTCTGTCTTGGGGAAGAATGAGGTTTATCTATTTAATTTTGAGAAGAACACTGGTATTTCATCACAATTTTTTTTAGTTCTTTACCTCTCTTTTTGTTGCTGCCTTGAGTTACAGAATTCGTTGTACCACTGGGAAAGGAAAAGGGGGGTTGAACTGACTTGCAGTTAGGATTTATATTTTTTCTTTTTTCTTTTTTTTTTTTTTTCCAAAAGTAATCTTTCTTTGAAAATACCTCAACTTAAAAACTATTCAAAGCATTGTCTACATGTTTTATCTACACCTGAATAGAAACTACTTATGGGATACATTTCAGAAGTCTAGTTTCTTATTCTTGTTCTGTATAATGAGTAATCTATTTCAGTTCAATGATTACTCCTCTAAGTAAAAGTAGTCAAACTCTTACTTATGCTCATTATCTAAGCATTCAGTTTTGTTACCAGTCATGAGACCACTAAAAAAACAAACCTGCATTTGTGGCTTCTGAAAGAAAGTTTCTTTCAATATCAAGGCTTGAGATGTTGATGAAATCTGACTTGTTTTAATAGTGATTCTTGCTCAGAAGACCAACCTTTGATAAACTGGCAATAACTTGCACTTGTTGCATTCCCTGTGGTCTGAAACACAGCTTGCGTTTCACATCCCCAGTACTATACAACAATTCAGGGTGATGAGAAAAAAATATGCTTTCCTATTTAAATGACAAGGAAGGCTAGATTTAGATAAAAGTAGTGCCAAATGAATTAAAAAACCAAAATACATTCCCTCTTATGTGGTGGAGGCCAGGCTCTTATTAATGACAAGTATTAATAGCTTTCATTTGTTTTATATGCTGTCCGGCAACATCCTATGCCCCCAGCATTATATACTGAACCAAGAATCAGGTGCCCATATCCCTGACTGCAGCACCTTGGATTTGTCCTGAGACCTTCTATTCAACTGTCAGGCAGGCCCAGCCCAGGGTTTAGCTGCTGAAATCTGGCAAAGTAACAACCCAAAGTGACATGGCTGTAAAACAAGTAAAATTTCCCTCTAAATTTGTATTTAACAAAATAAGGTTCATATGTATTTATATTCAGCAACTAAACAAGCGTAATTCCGTACAGTAATATGATTTTTAGTTTATATACTTTGAAAAGATTCTTTGCAATTGAAATATGTTTTTGAGCGCTTACCATGTTTTAAGAATGATAGAATAAGCGTGTCAGCAAAGAATACTTGTAGTTCTGATATGCGTTAATTCCTGCTTGAGCTTGATTGTTCATCCCCTCTGCAGAGTCATCTATGGTTTGTCTAATGTTTTGTGTGCATTGTATCATACTGATTGGAACACAGTAATATCAATTGGGGTATTGTTCTGGAAATTATTATTTAAATTCTTCATATGTCATTCTGTTTCATGGCTAATAGTTATAAAACTATAAAGAAAAAGCCTCAAAACTGAGATGAAAAATTTAAGTGATCCTATATTAAATACTTTGTGAAGTCTCATTTTTCAAGGATTTCCTCAGCAAAAACATTAAGTTTGCTTATAGTGAAATTTGCAATACACTGAATTTGACTGATGCTTATCTGGCATGGCAGACTCGATACAGTAACTTATTTGCTGTAATATATTTAGGAATGGATCTTTATTCAAACTAGCATCTACCATGTTTTGGTAATGCTGCAGTGATCATCTACAAGTAGGGCAGGATTTGTGAGGAGAGAAAATGCCTTTAGTTAAACCAACTGATAGAGCTGGAAAAAAAATTCTAACTTGCTGGTACAAAACATAGAAGGGCTGAAGAAGGGGTTGTGATCACAAGCCTTTTGTGTTTTTTTCCCATCTGTATCGGTTGTTGTATGATTATGCACAGATTCTGTCTCTCCTGTTTTCACTTTTCTTGCCTCATCTTTATTTAAACTGATTGAAAGAAATCTTTCAAAACCTTGGATCTAGAAAGCTTAAAATATGACAAATTTTGGTTGTCAGTTCAAATCTTGCTTGCCATTTCAAATACCTGTAGTTAAATAAGCAGATCCATAAAAAGTTCTTTGTTTTGCATTTTAAATGGGTTATTCAGTCCATATAGTGCTTTTAAACCAAAGTTGGATACTCTCAGAAAGGAAAAGCTTCTGTGTTTGAGAATTTAAAAATAGCCTGAGCAAGACACTAATAAAACATACTGTAGAGAGCAATCTCAGAACGGCATGGAAATAATTTAGATGATCTAATAGGTCTCACTGCTATCTTGTGAGTCTTTGAGAGGCTTTAATATTGACTCAACATGAGTTTTGTATATAACACTAACACCACTCGCTTTCATATTTTAATAGACTTCAAGAGGTACTATGTTAAAATACACCTTCAAAACAACTTAAAGAGTATGGATATGATAATAGAAAGCAGTCACAGTTTGGAACTCCCTCTCTCTTGGAAATAATTTGTATCTTTAAATGGTATGTTCAGAGCAGCAGGTTTTCAATCTCATAATAAAATTGAAGCAGGAAT